CACTATTTTCCTGAGATACTTTAGTCAAATAAATGTTACGTCTCCGTTCGTTAGTTGATTTTCCGTAACTTCGTTACAACGAAACTTTAGCGACACAAGTCCTTACTTAATAAAACTGGTTTATTCTTTCCGAATACAACTTTACGATACCCTTAATTTCAACAGTCGCGCTATAACAAACGCTATATCTCACGTGGCCAACAATATATTGTCCGCATACATTCAATTACGCATTACACTGTTCTCCCGTCACGTTGTGACCGTCTTATATATATACAAGACTAACACTATATCTAGTAATCTCCCGACAATTCACGAAGGTTCGAGAGAAGGAGTGGCATGATACTAGTCACGTGACCTCGCTGACGCAACATAAATGAAACTGTTTTAAGCAAGCAGCAATTCTAAGTGATATTAGCTTCCATCCTGACACTGTCTGTATCACAGAGTTTGGGCTATAAATATGGACAAACTGTTATTTTTTAAAAGATCCAGTCAGCTTTGTTTTGATCAATTAGTAAATATCAGTCAATTATGCATTTTATATAAAGTTTTTATTAAGAGTTTCTGAGGTTATTTCAAACATCCAGAATATTAACACAGAAAATTACTTCGCAGAGAGTTATCACAGTGGTTTTGTTGGTAATTAGGTCGGTAATGGTATTTGAAAGTTTTGTCTATCCAGTGGATCAGTGGTAAATCTGAGGATTCATAACACTAAAAATCGGGTTTCGATACCCATGTTGAGCACAACACAGATAGTATTTGAGATTATTTGTTTTTAAACAAGAAATTATAACAAATGTCAATAAATCCTAAACCTATTGTATGTTAAAAGTAGATAGCATTTAAGTCCAAAATTGTAATTATATCTTGGCCTGCAATACTCTCAGGAAAACTAGAGTCAATTGGTAAATATTAAGTCCGCAATACGGAGGGTCTGAAATAGAATAAGCAAAAGAAATAAGACACATACATTTACAAGGAAGAATATTCATTTAGCAAGATTGTTAAATGACGTAGAGACAAAGAACACAACATTTCTAGGAAGGGAGTCTTCAGTGTTCTCCAAGAAAGAGGAAGAACTCACACAATGAGCACTTGGGACAGTACTGAGCTCCAAAACCACACTCCAAGCCAATCTGGGCAACATCTTTGGCCACAAAGTAAAGACTTATGAACGAGCTGTGTACGGTTCAGTGGTTAGTGAGTCATATGGTGGAGTTTAAGTTCCGACGTTCTCGTCCTGCTGACACTAAAAAAAATTTTCTTCGCAATGGTGCCGTAGGTGCTTTATAAGAGTAACAGTCAAAACCCCAATATTCAGTAGACAATAATAGATCATAACTTGACGGCGAGTGGTGTTGGTTAGCTGCTTTCTCTCTAAACTATTACTTCAGAATCAGGCTCAGCTAGCGCAAATCGCCCTCGTGTAGATTTCGCTCAAAATCCAATAATATTTTTCGTTAATGCTATAATGTCTCAGTTTTGAGTTTTCCGATGAAATAAGCACTATAGGATATTTTTCTATTAATTTTGCGTCAAAAAATCATTCTTTTCCATTTTCCAAAAAGAAATCATATTTTTCATCGAAAATCCAAAGCTATAACCCATGTTTTTGCCCAAATTTTGAAAAAAATTGTTTTTCCTTATATTTCAATACAAAGATGCCCTTGATGTAAGACTTTCAAAATGGAGATCTTTTCATCATTTGTTTGTTTCTTTGGAATTAAGCACAAAGCTACACAATGGGCTATCTGTGCTCTGCCCACCACGGGTATCGAAACCAGGTTTATAGCGCTGTAAGTCCGCAGACTTACCGCTGTGCCACTGGGGGGGGGGCGAAGTTTTTGTAAATAAAAATGTTTTGTGTCTTATTGACCGTCTTCATATTTATTATCAGCCTTTGTTTTCCCCATCAGGAATTCATTAATGTCTTATCTTTGATGTGATTTTTTTTTTCACTTGGAGGAATTAAATTCAGTATTCCAGTAGTTGGTGTTCAGGTTTTGATTACAACAAAATCTTTCATCACTTAGATTGTCCCGAAAGAAATTTACTGTGTAACGAAACTAGTACCAACAGACTATAACCAAACTGTAGATAAGTTATTCTGATCCATTTGCACAGTAAACACGTTTAAACACAGTGTTTATTACCATTGGAGGAATCAAGTACCTGAACAGACTAGTTCAGACAGAGTTGTATTAGTGGGTTAAGATAATACATCCGTAAACTGACAGGGAACGGTTGGATTTCGTCAGTCTATCAAATCAATTTTGCTCTGCCAGAGATAGGTGAAAACAATCTGGCACAAGCTGTATTCCGTAAGTAACGTTATCCGACCACGTTTGTAGAACACAATTGTTGGCATACAGTCTCATTCACCAATCGTTCTCTAACAAGTCAGCTTCCATCCTAATACACTGTTCGCGTCACAAATTTTTGGCTATAAATATCCATTGCTCTTTATGGAGCCAGCACTTAACTGTAAAGGTGTTTTTCAAAACTAATAAATACGTTAATAAACAAACAAAATATTTCATCAATTAGATTGTCCCTAAAGAAATTTACTGATATTGTCTGATTCGGAATTGTAACAAACATTGTTCTAAGTTACTGTATATTAAAATATGATTGTCCCCAAAGAGTTAGCTTAAGGGCTTATAACACTAAAGTTCGGGATTCGATTCTCTTAGCGAACACTGCACAGATAGCCCATTTTTTGATTTTCGTTGAAACAGTCAAATGTATTATATTAAGCAGATCAAACCGTGATAAATTATTATGTTTAAAATGATCCAGTCAGCTTTGTTTTGATCAATCTGTATGTCGTTCACTAAACGTATTGAAAGAGATTATAAATGAATTTTTACTTTAACCTCCTTAAAAAGTTTCTAGGGCTTGTGACGTATCTCATCCGATACCATGGTTAACGTATTACAGAAACACTTGATAGGCTTCACGACGGTGAAGAATTGCATGTTTTAAAAAAAAAAAACACGATTCTCCAACTGTGTTATATAACTTTAGGTTTGGCCCAAGAATTTAAGAAATAATTTCATCTAAAGCATGTCATCATTCATAAGAGAATAATCTCATGATATACGTTGATTGAGAAAAATGCATGTAAGAGCTTGAAAAGTGTTTGTTTAATTAGAATAAAAATTGTACATTTCTATTATTGAATTTTTTCTTATAACAAGTATAAACTATATGTCTATGAACAACACTCTAGCAAAAATGTAATTTTCCAGAGTTTATTAATGATAGAGAAGCCTTATTGGTGGAAAGATTTTTGACGTCATTGTACTTGTAATACAAAGTAAAACGATTAAGACATACTAAAATTTAGTAGGGTTTCAGTGGATCAGAGAACGCATGCTCCAACAAACAACTTGTGAAAGAAGTTTTATCATTGGATAGTGGTCTGTACTGTCACGCCTACACCAAAAATTTCGAGTAAAACACCTTGCTTCCATTCAAATTATTACAAATTCTGGCCGTTGGCATGATACCGTATAGCTAGGGTTTATCTTAAAAGTATATCGTTTATTATTATCACACACACATATATATATATACTGTTGCTACAAGAACATAGCGCTGAATATATACTGAGGTGTCTATGTCATCGATCAACGCCAACGGATTTTGGGGACTTCTTGCGGCGAGCGACCGATTTGCTTGAAAGAAGGAGAAAGCTACTGTAAGTCTGTTGCTTTATTGTGTTACAAGAGACGATATTAATGTATGAAAAAATGTCCTGTCGGAAAACTGTTAACAATATTTTAAACGGTTATAAACTGGTCTTAAGCTCCTCTCTCTCTCTCTCTCTCTATATATATATATATATATATATAGTATAATAGTACTAAATAGTACTTAAACTTTTTACCCTAAGTAAGTAACTAAAATAGTAACTAACAACTAAGTTACTT